CCTTTCCTTTCCTTTTTTGTTGTATCATTTCTTCTCCACAGTGAATTCTTTTCCCACCAACAGGAAAGCAGGCTTAAAAATAACATGATCTAGGGTATGTGAATTCAAACACGAAGTTCAAACTTCAACCTAATTCTTATGGTTCAAACACAGTTGATCAGTGTTCTTCTTCCTCATGTACATAATGGCACGAACTTGTAAGAAGCTGCGTCAAAAAGTCTGATCTTTTGACAGAAAATCTGTTTTCCTTAGGTGAATTTTCTAGAAACAAAACAATTTGTCAACAATTTACTCAAATAACAGAACCCAACCACATCTTCCTCAACCACAGTGATCTGAAAAGACACACATGGCAGGTGAAATTCATGAGGGAATCAGAGATCTCAAGGCAAGAGGCACCTATCCAAAAAGATCTCTGCCATAACATAAGGCATCATGGGCTGTCACAGCGCCGTGCCAGCCTCCAGGTTAATTTAAAGGTGTTGGATGATGGACAATCCAGCACACCTCAGTGGGAGCTGTTCCCATAGCTCAACATTCCAATATTCTTGTGTTCTTAATATACCTTAGTTGCTGTTTGGGTAGAATTGAGTTGGTTTCAGCTACTTGCTCCTGCTGTGTTTCTTTTTCCGTTAGATCCATGCCATCTCCACTATCAGAAGCTGTCTATACTGAACACCTTTCTTCTACAGTGTAGGGTCTCCAGGCTACATTGAAGCTACCTCACAAGGCTTCCCTTGAGCATTCAAGCAAGCTAAGCCTGCCTAACTCTTCTATGGAAAGAAGGCTTTGGCTGAGCTGTTGGGKTTTTTTTAAGGCCCTTTCCTTCCCCCTCATCCTGAGGGACATGGCACCCGCTGGGCGCTGGATGCCTGTCGCTTCCTGCGGGGCTCCGTGGCGCAGGACGCCGGCTGTGCGAAGCTGCTGTCGCTGCGAGGCAGGTTTGTCGTGGCACAGCAGGGCCTGCCCTGGCCCCTCTGCTCTGCCCAGAGCTTTTCCAGGYGTTTCCAGGGACGCGTCACCACGCAGGGCTCCTCCAGCCCCGCTGACAGGGACCTGCTGCAGGAAAAGGGCTGAGCGCCACTGAGGAAGGGAGGGCAGGAGAAGACCAAAAGAGCAACATTAAGGATCCTGACAAACCATGTTTATGTTTCTCTGCAGCTCTGTGATTTTCCATTCTACTAAAAAAAGAATTTAAAAAAAAATATATCAAAAGAATATTATTATCTTCTCTTCCCTGTAGTTCCTGGTGCCAGCCCACTCAAACAACTCGCACAGCACGATGCTGGGAAGCAGTAGTCTAGGCTTGGCAATTAAGCTTCAATAAGGCAACACTGTTAAACACAAACACCAAACGAAGGAGAAAGGAAGGCACAGGAAAGCTAAAAAAAAAAAAAGCCCAAAACTCCCTCAGCAATTTTGAGATAAGGAAACCAGACAACAACACAGGGATTAATCACTACCTTGCACCTCCCTGCAAAATGTCTATTCAGACACAACTTCAAATCTGACAGTCTTAAGGTTGATCTGCTCATACTAATGCCTTGGGAGCATTCTAGTCATGCTGATTCTCTTTCTCTAATTTCTTCTCCTGTTCTGTTATGAATAAAAGCAGAGAGAGGATTGCCCTACCAATAGTAAACACGTTATACAGAGACAAAAAAAAAGTTCATCCTGTGACCCTTTCCCTTCCAACAATAGGCAAGAGTTTCTAYATCTGAAGTAGATCATTTAATACACTGTTTTTTGGGGGTTTTGTTTTTTTTTTTAAGAGGTGACGTACAGCTTAAACTGAGGAAACACAGAAATCGACCAAATAACCTTCCCTGTCCAGGCATTCAAATACAGAAAAAAAAAATGGACAAGAGAGGATAAAGTGTGTTAAGGTTTTGGTTCAGGAAATATTCCTGAAGAAAAAACGCACTCGAGCATGTGTTTCCCTTTAAGAATCTGCTTACATTCCACTGAAGTCAATGGGATTTGAGTCCATGTTCTGTTGACTTAAGTGAGACTTCAGTCCACACTTAAATACCTTCCGTTGGGTGTCTGATGCAATAGACTCCTAGGGCATCCAAGACAAAGAGAATGCTTTTTCCAGGAGGGTAAAAGAAAACCTGACTGCTTTTAGGGCATCGTACTCAGGTATCTTTTATTGAACAATACAAATTTTGTAAAATCAGTATTTATTTTTGTCCACGAAGGCTGCAGAGAAGTCAGAATTGAAATCTTTACAGATTTATTCACAAATGATTAATATACCTGAAAAAAAATCTCAATTAAGTTTAGGAAATTCTGTGACTGCAGCAGTAAAGTCATCTGCTTGCAGAGAAGGATACAGCAAAGATAATAGCTACAGAACGAGGCTTTTTTCCCTAACTCATTTGAACTTCCTGGTCACAGATTTTCCAAAAGTTGAGGTCAAGGGACAGGGCCTCTCAAAGCTGCTTCGCTTCCCATCAAAGGTGTCTCCCACGAACACCCTGATCCAACACAAACACAGCATTTTTTTTAATTCCTGTTTAGATTTCTAATTTTGCATGGAAAAGACCTGCAGCCAAAGMCGATTTGTGTGTAAGTCCTGGGAAGTTGTGCATGAAATAGTATTGTAGGATCTTAAAATATTTTAGGATCTMGACCTTATGGATTCAAAGCCAGCAGATTTGGGGAGCATCTCTGCTCCGACTTGAGTGAGGTCTCACTCTTAAGAACCATGATTTTATTTCATTACATTTTTYACTTTTGTCCCTCCTTGTCACGCCAGGCAGCAAGCGAGGCCATCGCTTTTCTCCCCTGGAGAAGCTAAGCACACATATCAAAAAGAGCCTGCAGGATCCATCTGCCAAGGATTTCTGGGCAACGTTTTTATCAAATAATTCTTTCAGATGAAGTGGCAGTCCTCTCTGAGCCACCACGTTCATGTATTGGCATGGATGTCTACAGACAGTTTTAGAAACCCACCCAGCAATCATTGAAAGCCTCAAGTACATTAAGAAATTTCCAAACAACAGCCAATCCCAGTGCAGGCTGTCCTCTGTTCCTAACAAGAGTGGAGCATAACATGAGTTTCCTAACATAACATTCCTAACATAACATTCCTAACATGAGTTTCTCATACTGTGTCGAACAAGGCTGCTCAGAAAAGATTGTTTCAAATTCCCCACTGTTTTGGGGCCAAGCCTAAGGGTGACGAGCCCTGGCACAGGCTGCCCAGGGAGGCTGTGGAGTCTCCTTCCCTGGAGATCTTCCAAACCCACCTGTCTGCCACCCTGTGCCCCGTGCTCTGGGTGTCCCTGCTGGAGCAGGGGGTTGGACTAGATGATCTCTAGAGGTGCCTTCCAACCTCAAGCCTTCTATGACTCTAAGCTGTGCAAGAGCCAGCAGCAGCCCTTGCCCCACAGAGACTGAAGGATCCCCGCGGGCTGAAGGATAGGAGGGGAAAGAGCCCAGTGGAAGGTAACTGAGAAGTTGCCCCATTGCACCCCAAAGACCTTGTGCCACGGGAATAGACATGCAGGTCCACCACAATGGAGCAGCATCTGGAGAGCCACGATCGTGCCACTGGTCCAGGGGCACAGGGYGGCCTGGGCCACGTGCACCAGCTTGTGGGGATCAACGGAGGCCACGCCAAGAGGCTGGCTCTGCCCGCGGCTGCCCCTCACGTACCTTCTGCAGCTTATCCGCCTTCTCGTAGTAGCCCTCCAGCTCCTGCCGCAGCACGTGGTTCTCCTCGGAGAGCATCTCCACCATCTGCTGGGCTCGCTCCACGATGGCGAAGGCGTCCGGCGTGAGCGGGGCGCCCGGCGGCGTGGCGGGCGCGGGGGGCTGCCCCATGGCGGGCGCGGGCAGCGGCGGCCCCGCGGCGCAGAGCGGCGGGCCGCTCGCCGAGGAGGCCTGCGAGGCCATGGGGCTGTGCTGCTGCGCCGGCGCGGCTGCGAAGGGCGCTGGGCATGGCCGGCTGCAGGGAGGCAAGCGCGGGGGCAGGCGTTAGACGGGCGCATCCTGGGAAGTGCGCTAGGGAGCAGGGGCATTCGCAGGGTTTCTGCACGGTTTATTAACAGGATTATTACTGTGCGGTCAGGATCCTGGTCTCTAGTCAGTACTAAGTATCAACAAGCACAGCAGTAAGCTGGTAAACTGCCTCCTCGCCTGTCCTTGACAGGGACRTACATTTGGCGTGAAGAATGAAAGAAGTGCTGAGCTGAAAAGGGCTTTTTCTTTGCCCGGGTGCTCGCACACGCTGCAGCCTCCCCTGCCTCCACCTTGCCCCAACCCCAGCGCAGACGCAGCAGCCCACGGACTCCAGTGAAGCACAAGCAACGTGTTACTCACCCTTCAAAGATCGGTGCCCGCCTGCAGCAAGCAGGCGGGCTCACGGGCTCAGTTAGGAGACAAAAGGAAGYGACGGGAGTGAAGCGGTGTCCCCGGAGAGCTTTAGCAGGCAGCAAAGGGAAGGACTGGACAGCCCTGATCAATCATGGCGAATAATAAAAGCCATCTTCCAGTGCAAGACCTCATTATGTCACTCGGTGACTAAAGGCATCCATCACCCCCAGTCTGGTCTTAGGGAAGATTGAGTTGGTCACAGTCTGTGCAAACCTATTTGTGGGCTCAGCCTCCTGACGGCGGAGGGCTCTCTAATCTATCAGAGTYATCAGAGAGTTTGCAGGGGCTGGACAATAATCCAGGAACGTGCTTCAAGAGGAAGGGTAACCCTGAGGCTGGCATCCAGTTGGGACCAAAGTATCTCACATCCATCAGGCACTTCACAAGCCTTTGCAAGGTGGAGAAGTGAGACTGTCCCTATTGTAAGAAGGATAATTCAGGGCAGAGGAGCTCAAGTCTGTACCAGAGCCCGCTCCCTATGTACCTAACTCTGCCTGCAGTACCAGAAGCAGCCTGGAGATCCAACAAGGTCAACGTGGACCTCTGGGACCTTGCCAGGGTAAATGCAGCCCTATGGCACAGAGCCCAAGTTACTCCTTAGCCAGCAGGTCCTAGCTGCCAAGCCAGGCTGTGTGCAACAGTCTCAGGTATTTCTGCACTTCCCAGGCCTAAGTGACTCAACCCTGGCCACGCTGGACTCATATGTCTGAGCTGGAGCCTCCCAAGCCCCATATTAATATGTCAAGCTCAGACCTACAGCAGCTCAAGCTGATCCAAATGGTGTTCCTGACACCCTGGCCGCTCCTGACCATTCTCATACTCCATTCGCCCCCATGCTCTACCTCAGGCTGCTGCTCACTTGTCCAGGCTATAGGTCAGTGCAGAAGACTGAGACACCCAAAATCTAACCCAGGGAAAAAAGAAAAGGGTCCATTTGCAGCTAGCTCATGTCCACATCTCACTGGCCTTGCCGCATGAACATGACAGCATCAGCCCTGGGGACAGGAGAGGAAAGAGGGAGCCAGCTTGAGCAATCAGAAAAGGAGGGAATTAYAGAAGCCATAATGTAGGGAGTCTGAAAGGGTTGACCACAGAGGGTTGTTTAATATGCCATGTAATAGATTGGAGCTTATCAAACTCCATTTACAGTGTCCAGCTGCTTAACGCCACCTGCTCTTCCACACCCGTGGTCTTGCAATCAAGCACTTCCTAAAAGTTATATTCTGCCCTTAATGACACACTATTAGGCTTGCTGTCAGCATCACTGCCTTTATTTCTGTATCTGTGCCAGGCAGGAGATCTAGCTATAGGATGTATTTACCTCATTTGGTCTCACAAACCTTTGACTGGTATTTTTCTATACAGGCAATTTTGTGCTATATAAATACATAATAAATATGATTATCGCTATCTTCAGAGCCTACACAGCTTCTCAAAGYGGGGTTTTCAAAAACTCTCAGTGTTGGCTTAATTCTGCTCCCAGTGATAATAACCCATCAGTGCTAATAATCCATCACTGCCTTTGATTGCAGCAGAACAAAAAGAGAGGCAAACGCCCTTTTGAAGCCCTGTGCTAAAAGCTAACACCTCCACCCCAWCCAGCTTGTCACCATCAAGTCACATAATGTCCAAAGAAAGCTGGATACGTGCATAGCTAGTCCAGCATGTTCATCCCGGCCCTCCTTCTCTGCCCAGAACAGCAAGGCTGGCAGAGAGAAGGTTTGAAACGAAAGGAGAAGCAGTGTTTGGCCATGCCCACGCCAGGCTGGCGTGCGGCATGCCCTGGTAACGCACACCGCAGCGCCTCTCCACACGGACTCCAGGTCATGGGCAGCCCTGCTCATGCTTTGTCTTCCATATCCTTTCACCAGCCCAGCGTAGATATCCCATAAGCTCTGTCTCCACTGGTAAGGTAGACATCTGGTCCAGTTCAAGAGCATGACACAGGGTCACTCCCTGTGGGCAGGGTGGAGACACCAGCCAGGCCTTGATATGAGCTCGATATGAGGCACCTTGAGGGCCACATGGTCCCAGGAAGACCCTCAGGCATGTTATTTCTCTGGTAGAGACACAGCCCAATTATTTTGGAGTTAAGCTTCTACAAAAAGCGAGCAAGACTTTCTCAAGGACACTAAGCTGGGGAAGCGCTGTGTGAAACCAATGGCCCTCAGAGCCTTCTGTCATTAGAAACACTGTGAAGCAGAAAGAATTACTGCCAGGCCAGAGGAAGGGTAAGTACTCCCAAGACTACTTGCTGCGCTGCCTTTACCTCCATGTTTTTATATTGTAATCTGCTCTGGATCATCTTCTAATTCATTGTTTCACAAGCACATGAATCCCTGCTGAGGGAGCRTGAGGCACCCACAGCTGGTGTGGGCAGCCTGCAGAGCTTGCTGCGTTTTTGCCCTTCTCCGCTGGGAGAAACTCCTCTTGCTGGTCCCTGCTGGCCCACTCCATCCCTGCAGTGCACAACACAACAGCAACACTGGGCCAAAGAGAAACAGGAGAAAGGGAACTGCTCCAACTAGGAGAAATGGGACCCCTTCCCTGAATGGCATCCTACCTGGAGCCAAGATCCAGCCTGACATGAGGTGAAGGAGAAGCATCAGCAGAGCCTCAGCCTCACCATCCTCTGGAGCGCACTGCCTTTGCAGACATCAGTACACCAAACTGAACCAGATTAGCAGGGTGGCAGGTGGCTTCTGCCACCTTATCTGTTGGGGACTGTAATGCTGAAGTGGGAATCACTGGCTGGAACTTCTTCTCCCGAAAGTGCTGGTTCTACACAAGGGTATGTGCCGCTGGCTGGAATATCTGTGCTGCTGGAGACCGATGTGACAGACATGGGCATGAGCTCAGCATCTGATTTGAGGAGCTCATCACTTGTGCTCATCTTCAAGATTAGAACATTTCAATATGGGGAAATTSCTGCTACACTCAAACTCCTCAGAGCTCAGGAGGATGAGATAGTCCTGGGTTGCCRGGGATGTAACCCAACACGAGAGCCGTACGGGCTCCGCTGAAGAATAGCTGCTTGGCTCTGGTTCTTAGCATACTCAGCAACTCTGCAACCATGAAATTTGAAGCACGCATCTCCCCTCGCTCCAAAGATATCCTGCAAAATGTCAGGCAAGCTTAAACGGCGGCAGTATCGCTTTGCGGGGCCTGCAAGCAAACCGAAACAATAAGCGGACAAGGGCGGAGCAGATGGAGGCGGCACGAGGTGCGAGGCGGGAGACGTGAGGTAGGAGGCGTGAGGTGTGAGGCAAGAGGTCAAGCGAAGACGTGAGGCGCGAGGCACGAGACATGAGGTGGGAGGCGGGAGACGTGAGGCGCAAGATGCGAGACATGAGGCGCAAGACGTGAGGTGGGAGGTGTGGGACATGAGGTGTTGGTGTGAGGCACAAGGTGTGGGCAGGAGGGGCGAGACGTGAGGTGGGAGCGTGCGGTGCCGTGGGCAGCTCCGGCTGAGGTGAGTTCTGCCTCAGGCCCCCTCGACCAGCCGGCTGTGGGGCCAGATTCTCCTTTCGATGTTGCCCCAGGGTGGCGCCGGCCTCCACACATTGGGTCATCAGCCCTGTTCTCCCCCTGTTCTCTCCCTGCGTGAGGCCACCCCAGCCAGGAGAAAGCAGAAACCCGCAGCTACCACGGAGCCTGCGCTGCCTCAGGAGCCCACGCCCAGCTCCACTGGGGCAAAGCAGGTGCATTCAAGGTAGCTGGGCCATCAACACACCAAAACTGTAGACATGGTGCACTCAACAGCACCAAATTACCCAAGATAATGTAACCTAAGTAGCCTATAAGGGAAAAAATTCTTCACGATGAGGGTAACAGAACACTGGAAGWGGTTGTGGAGTCTCCATCCGTGGAGATCTAAGAGAAATCTGGRCAGGATCCTGGCCAACCTGCTCTAGCTGACCCTGATTCAGCAGGGTGATTACATTGGAAGGTCTCCAGAGGTTCCTTCCAACAGCTACATCTGTGATTCTGTGAAAATGACAGTGATTTACACCAGGTGGAGATCTGGCTCCTGGCTGCATCCTTCTGATTTTCCTTCCTGAGAGTTCCCTCCTGACTCTGCTCATGATGCAAACCATGGGAACCACTTCTCCCAGCTATCCCTTACTGCCAGAGACCATTTCAGAAGGTCACGGGGGCTCCCACACTACACACCAAGSTGCTGCTGCCAGGCCACAAGCTGTGCCCTTTTCTTCAGGTTTCCCCARCGTGCACAAGCTGTCAAAAGCCACCCTGCCCTTGTCAGGGACCGGAATATTTTTTTCTTCACTTGAAAAATGAACAATACACAAACATTAGAGAGAGCAAACACCATTTGCAAGGCGGAGTGTTTGCAAATGCAGCCAAGAAAGCTGCACCTCTTCAGCGCACCTGACAGCTTGTCTGCACTTAAAGGTTTTACCAGGATAATTAATCCAGCTAAGTGTGAGTTACTTTGTCATTTCCAAAAGAAAGGCCACAGCTGATTTTAYGCAAGCAGAAGCCCAACTGTCTGGACACAATTATTCCAGTACAAAGGCGGCTTGCTCAGATACAGATTTTCTCACTTTGTGT